TTGGGACTTATTCAATTCATTAGTCGGCTGTTGGGAAGATGCCGTTGACGATAACATCGACGAAGAATACGATTGGCTCATTCAACCTCTTCACGTTAGCGCTATGAAAGTTGAGAGTTCGAAAGTCACCAAGAGACGTTTGTCTCCAGAAACATCCGAGGTGATACACCAGCGTGGAATCGCACGAGCTGCAAGCAACCACAAACTAACGTCCGAACTTGCAAAACAATGCAGATAGTCGATAAAAGAAGATTTTGAAGAGAGAAGAGCAGCAGAAATAGTCGAAGCTGCAAAAGCTGCGAAAAGCATTCGCAAAGTCCACCGAAGCTTCGTAAATTACAAGGCCGAGTTCGCTGCACTCCGAGGCTTAGACGGAACAGTTACAGCTTCGAAAAAGACCATGGAGAAAATAATTCACGAATACTACTCAGTTGTCTTCAATAGCCACGTCTACCTTCCGTCACATAAAATGAAGTGGGATGGATATGTTCTACCATCGGTTCTCCTTTTCGAAATCCGACACCCTTTTTCGTCGGTGAAAAATCGAACAGGTCCAGACAGGATAAAATCCGAACACCTGAAGAACTTTCCACCAGTCCTCATAAACACACTTGCTCGGCTTTTCACACGTTACCTGTCTGAATGCAAGGTCCCTACTCAGTGGAAGACCAGCAAGGCCGTGCTATTGTTCAAGAAGGATGACCTACACGCGATATCGGCAGCCGTTGCCCAATCTGCCTACTATCTGTCGTCTACAAACTTTTCACTCGAGTCATCCTTAACAACACTGATAGAACACTGAACGAAGGATAGCCATGTGAGCAAGCAGGGTTTCGAAAAAGATTCTGTAGATTAACACGATAACAAGACTTATTGAAGTGTGGTAAGAGTACATAATACCGCCCTGGCTCACTTTTATCGACTTAAAGAAGGAATTTGACATAACTTCCCAACGCTCTGCTATTCAACAGAGACGTAAGCTGATGCGTTATCCACGTGGAGAATACTGTGCACTACTCCTAGAGCGCTTACGCAATGGCCTTTTATCATATAACATACATCTAGTCGGAATGCGAATTTCTGATATTCTAAGCCTATCCCATCCTTGGGATCCAGGAAAACATACATTGTTAGGGAAGCAAAGATGGACTGGTTTCATAGTGAAAAAACTGACAACAGGTAGACGAAAAGAACTGTGAATTGAACTCCACCAACCAAGGCACAAACGTAACCGAGGACGCACATACACTTGTGTGGTGGGAGTGGGTGGAGGGGAGCGTGTTCGTAATCAAAGTTAATCAGCTATCCTTGCAGCTGCAGTTATAATGCAGATCATGGTATGGGGCTCCTATCCGCTACCACGCTCGAGCAAAACCATCACCAATATAGACGACGATTCGACGATTACGAAGGAAAGAAGCGAATGGCAAATGTGCTGGTTTTCGTCGATCGTCCAAGTATCAATACACCCAAAGAAGATTGTGAAAAAAAATTAAAAACACAAAGTAAGACCTTGCTTTGTAAATACGTGTTATATTTACAGCTGATTCAAAACTAACTAATATCTAAGGTCAATAAATGACCGATAGAACATCTAACTAATGCTGGAAAAGCTCGCATCGCAGTCGTTGATGGTACCATGTAATACACATGTGTTCGTTGATTCCAATCATTGTCTGAGACTGACCAAGCCTTCCATTCCATCAGGTCCGACTAATTGATTCCGTACTTGTTTGGCAGGGTAGCAGCACTGATCCGCTACAACAGTAGGCTACCGCAAGTAATTTTATGGGCCAGATATGCATTTAACCTAATCACCTCTAGCGATGGTTGGTGGAGTCGAATACATGACAGACTCCTTAGGGATTGATCTACCCGTGAATGTCTTATCCTCTATTTTCGATGCCCAACTGATAAGTTTACACGAGTTTGCTCTAAAACTGCGATTTGGCCAGCCTTGTGGCTCTATTGCCTTTTCACTCGGTGTCCACTCTAGTCGATTCGACTCGACGCAACTACAAAGAAGCAACATTCATCGCAGGGAATAATTACTATCTCGATCCAAGTCACTGCGATTTTCAAAAAGACAAAAGCGCCAAATCTTTAGCCGAAATAAGGTTTTGGTGTAAGTCTTTTAAAAAATGAGAAGTTGTAGTGAATTATTAGTATTAGCTGGTATTAGTGAATGTATTACACCTTAACAGCTGCAATTTCCCTTCGTGTTTGAGCAGTTTTAGACATAACTGGCTCAGTGTTTATCATTCAAAACCTTGGAATCTTTATATAGTTAAAAGTTGTATCTATTAAACAATCATATCGGTTAGAAGAGCTAACTAACTCGTTAGTGTGCCGGAGTAAAACCCTCGATGAGTGTAAAATTAACGGATATCAAACCATGAAAATCTTTCCGCATCAACCTTCTTTCTTTGCTTTAAGTTCACGCGCCGAGTAGCTTATGACGGTGCATGTTGTCGAAAGTGATGATTTGTTCCCCACCCCAATACTAGCGCTAACTCATACGAACCCCTTTCTCTCCTCGGACCTAAAATATGAGTATTTCATGTTTTTTTGGTGACTATTAAACAAAAATCGTCCTCCTTATAGTATACTGCCATTTGAAAATATTACCTATCTTTCGAAATCAAACAAAATTAGCGATCTCGTTAGTCTTGGAAAGCCACCATAGCACATTGAACTACTAAACTACTTTTAGTGTCACATCTCTCTGGGATTGGTTAGAGTCGGGTCCTTCAATACTTGTTTTATCATTGGGTCTAATTCTAAAAATTCTAATTTGTTGTTAGGCAATGTAGACATAAAATTTCACTTAGAAGCGAGTTGCTTTGGTTGATCACTCACTGGAAAGAACATAAACGATAAAATAAAAATAATTATCAAACCCTGATCGAAACAACACCACGAATGCCATTGGAACGTGGCTTGTGAGACCGATGGTCAACTCTAAAACTTTATCTCTAAGATGTTCTAATTCTGAAAACCATTAAAACTTACCCACTGCCCATTTTGTGTAAAGAACGCGTAAACTCACTATGATAGACAGTTTCGCAGAGAAACTGCAACCGGCCCCTTGACCGAGCCGCGTGTTTCGCTACACCCACCGCATTTCGATCTGCAACGAGTTATACATATGATACAGATTTACGATTTCCATGTGAAAGCGGTAGATCATATCATTTTCAGAAATCACTCATTGTCTTGCTCAAGAAGGTCCCTTCTTCCATGCACGCACTAGCACCTCCGGTTTCTTCAAAAGTGTTTGTGGGAAGCAAAAGCACCGATACTATTCAAGGTTATTAATACATAATATCACTTCCATAGAATTTTATTAAGTTGGTACATTAAAGGCCTTTCACACAGCCGTAATATCTTATAATTTTTACAGAAGTTCACCTAAGCTTTACTTAAGTTCCGTGCCCCTCTTCCAAACCGTGTTTCCCTAAAAGAATTGCTAATGGAAGAGTTTTGAGCAACTGTCGTTTATTTTAAAATAAGATCCATAAAACATTTTTTACGATATCCACAGAATTTTAGATAATAAATAAGGCACAATGTAGCATCGTGCTAAATTCTCGCATGAACAACACTTTTGGCGAGAAATCTATGAACGTTCTAACAATACAATTCATTCTTAAAGGCATGCATTTCTTGCCATACTAGTACCTTTTACTCTCACACTGAAGATTTCACCTTTAAAAACCCATCTACCTTTTGTGAGCACTAAGGCTACCGTATCTTGTTGCTCCTCTCCAACCGACATGTTTCCGCGTGGGAATAACTTTTCCATTCTGTCAATAAATAAGAGTATTGGTAAGCGAGTAAAATCGTTGTTCAGCAGTAATACCATGTTCGCTTTGCTGTTGACATCGTTCTTATAACAACAAATGTCGGTCAGGCAAAACGAATGCTTTCCAGCAGTCTTCGGATAAATCTGACAATAACGATATGCATGAGGAACGGATTGGTTTCCTATATCCCATTCACATTCAGCGGTACGAACGTCTTCAAATGCTCCGGTTACGTTAGTCTAGATAAAAATATCAACATGATGAAAAACTTAGCGCTAGAGATGAGTGAAAACAATCGGCCAGTTTGAAGGGAATAGAAGAGTATCGGGGATGTAATGAAAAGAGCAAATAACACACAACTCTATGACTCCACAAGATTCCTCGTTCATTAACCCATGCGTGTGAAACCTGGTCGTGCGTAAGCAGAATAAAAGATCACTCAAGCGTTGTAGAAGGCGCAAAGAACGATACTTCGTGTTTCTCGTATCAGGCAAGTGAGTGGAGCGAACCGAAGCTCCGATCTACATTAAAACTAAAAAAAGATAAAGCTCTCGGCGTTGATCAATTCTTGAGGGATGCGCCATACATTTGACTTCATTAAGCATCGTTCGCATCGATTTTTGATGTGGGATGGTGCATTCGTCAACCACATGCGACTATAATCAGCTGTTCTAAACTCCCTCATTGGAAGTCACGAAAAAGCGGTGGGTTTTTCGAGAAGTTGTTGATCGTGTGGTTACCAAAGAGTCTTTCGTCTTTGTGTAAGTGTTATTGAAGCGTTTGGCCTAGTAGATTGTATATCAGTATACCCTTCTAGGCTCTGAAGAAGGCGGTACCGCCGAAACGTCAGAGGGCAGCTAGTGTTGTATTGTATTGTGTTTTTTATGGAAGTAAATATATGCTGTTTAAAAACCTCGCGATGGCTGAACAAGAAAACGACGAATTCTGTTTACATTTATTTGTAAACAATTCGCAACAATTCCCGTGCACTTTGGTAATACTTTTATATCTAACAACTATGCAGTTTTTAATTTTTATAAAACTGCAGCTGTTCAAATCACATTTTCTTCAACGTGGGCTGCATTAAAATCAGTGGAGGAAGTACTCACTCTATAAGTTGTAAGAAACATAACTGACATAAACCATACTATTTTTAAAAGCAAATCGGTGGACAAAAGTGCAACGTTAAGAGCTCTAAATTTTGGACAAGACATCTCGAAGTCGAAAATCGAAGCGATCATCAACGACTCGGCAGTTGTCCATGAAACGACCCTTCTGGTCATCAAAACTCCAATTTTTCCTATGTGTACAGACGAGCATCTAAAATTGTAACAACTACAACAATAACTGATAGACGCAACTGTACTCATGTGTCAACTTTGATTTACTGCCTACTCTTTTTCACGGCAGGGTGTGACGTGAAATACGACCACACAAAATTAAATAAAAGCTCTTGGCTTTGATCAATCTCTGAGCGACGCGCCATGCATTCGACTTCATTGAGCATCGTTGGAGGTGACTAAATACATATCTGGGCCTTTACAATGACTCGCGGCGGCCTAACGATTTATCGAGCATGTTCTATCCTCCTAGACATGTTTGGGACCAGTTTGCCGACTCATGAGTGAAAAAGCTTGGTGAACCTGAGGCGTGAGGATCGACCCCATGTGTGCGTTGTAGGGCACCTCTTACCACTGCTCCACACCCGCTCATAAGCGAAAATAGGATTAAAAACACACTGTGGTCTCGACTGCAGCTTAAGCATTCCTTGGTTCAATTTGATGAATGATTGGCGTGCTGTGCGATTCACTTACTTGATACTTGAATGACCCATCATCACTGGTTGTGCGGGTTCCAGCATAATCAGCACTTTTTTATATTTACTGGTTAAGCCATTATAGTTTCCTGGAGTCCCAAGGTCAGACTGGCCAAAGTCTGCCTCAGGTCTTCACCACCACGGGCAGTCGTGGCCCTTGTGGATCAGAGGGAGATTTACCATCGTGCGACTTTGTCACCAGGACCGTAGTGGATCCCGGTGTTGGTTTATTCCTAGCTAGGTTTCCTAATGGAAATACCGGACTCCTCAACTTGGGAGATCCTGCCAATGATGGATCCCCCGCTGTACATCGCAGTCCAACAGCCAAGAACATCTACCAGTAACGATGAGGTGCTAAACGCTTAGAAGGCTGTACATTTTACTTCGTATTTATTCTACAAATTCTGAAGCCGAGTAGTTGTGAATGGTTGATTTCCTCTTACTTCGCAGAATGGTGGTTTGTAAAACACAGGTGCTTAAGGTTCCATAGAGATGTGATGGTAGCGTAGCATTGAACACAGTATTTCCCTGAAAAGTGTGGCAAGGTATCGCCTTGCACCCTTGCTGAAGTATGTGTGTTTAAGGGCATTATAGAAACGGAAGCCTTGTAGGCTTATCGCCGTCGCTATTTTGATCTGAACTCTATATTTTCACTAACTTCGTAAGTAAATAATGCTAGGGACTCACTCGCTGATTTGCGTTGTATCGTAAAAGAAAGCAATTTTCGAAATGCTTTCGAAACACTGACAAAAGATCGTTCTCATAAGCAATCGCATCTCTCGAACACAAAATGTTTACGGTAAGCACACCTTAAAAATGGGAATAGAAACAACAACGACAACAACAACGACACCAACAACAACAACAGCAACGTCAACGACGCCTGCAACAAAGTTAATATTTCCACAGAATCTCCTTTTCTACAAGACTTGTTTGTTTTACCTTAAAATCTTATTTTGAAACCAACGGTCATTTAACTTCGCTACTATAATAATCTATATTTGTTCATATTGTTGAGCCTACACGAGGCTGTTACGAGATGTTTATTCAGAAAAGCTTTCGACGTCATCGTCTTCACTAGAGCCGACGATTCTTGTCCACAGTTGTTCCTCTTCTCGTTGTGGAGTCTTCGTCTCGCATCGAACCGGACCTTCCTCAGCTATCAGCCCATCGGAATTTCAAAATCACTATTTTGCTATTCGCCATGTGCTAGCTAACAAAATACCAACTGTTGCAGAGAGGACTATAGGGTAAAAAACAAATTATCATGTTATCAAGATGGTCAAATCAACAACAACCGCCTTGTATAAAAGAGCGTCGCCGGGTGAGTGTGTCGCACTCGAGATGCTCAGCTGAGAAAGAACCGGTTCGACGTGTGACGAAGACGCCACATCGGGAAGAAGAACAACTCTGGACCATCGACGAGGATCGTCGGCTCTGAAGAAGACGAAGACGTCGAAACGTTAGCCGAATAANCAACAGGTGTTTTCAAAGCTGTTTTTCCATAAAATAAAAATATGAACTACTTCTGGATCAGAGCCTGTGGTTAAGCCGAAGCCGCCTTAATCAACTCATTAATAGGCTTTGAGTCGTAAGTTTGGCTACATTTTCTCTGTATACGCTTGATGTTTTCTATTAAGCGGTTTGAATTTAAAAAAACAGTCGTAAATTGAAAGAGTTCACTTACAGATATGGTGCGAAAGTATTTCAGAAGATAATTAAAAAATGAATGTATCGCTAGTCTTCTCACCATCTTCACTAAGAATGCCAGCAATATCTTGAATAACATTAGATCTAGTGAATTCCTCAACTGGACAAATCCTTGGATGTTTTTCGCTGTAACACGCATCCAGCACTATTGATCCGTATTTTTCATCTAAACTTGTAGAAAGGAAAAAGGCAAAATCAGCATTGCTCTATCAGTTTCAGAGAAAACCTATGAAAACTTCTTCTAACAAGTTCACACCTCGTTTCTTAGCTTCGCGAACGAAAACGATACCGTCTCCAACAAAAACTTTGTTGTTGTCATTTTGTTGTAAATCGAACCAAGTCGTCGCCAATTTGACCATTGTTGAATCCAATTCAACGGTCGTCACATTAATCTTGAATATGCTTTCATCTAAGTGAAAAAGTATTAAAGAGCTCTCGAAATGTTCCTAATGAAGCAATTTTGAAGAGAACAATATCTATAGAATACTAAGCTAAGACGTTAAAAGGTGCACCCTTAGGCAAGTAAAACCTACAAGTTACCGAGTTCTTCAAGCGAAGAATTGATAAATTGACGTCATATAGAATATTCAATGGATTCTGTTCGCTTGAGTGACACAAAGGGGATCACACTGCATTTTATTGGTCCTGATGATTCCTTCTCGATTTTCTTTATTACTCGTTTTTCGGTCTTCTTGTAAACTACCAAAGTTGCTCGTTTCCTTGTGCCAGACTCTGGGTAGAATCAAAAGGAAAAGGAATAGCCGCGCATTCTTCTTGTCTTCAGGAGTGAATAATGACGAACGAGTCGATAAACAGAACAGTTATGAATAAAAGAGCAACTAGTAAGTTTTATTTACTGCCTACTCTTTTTATGGCAGGATATGGAGTGAAATATAGCCACATTCACTAAGCTGACTAACTGATGAAGAACCATGCATTCAGCTTATTAGACATGTGCTTGAAATAATGTTGCGCCTATAAAATGTCTAGCGGAGAGCTACCGATGCATCAAATTAGTAACACAGTCGCCGAGATGCTGAGATATGAGCAAAACTCAGAACCATAGTTGTGCTTCGAACCCAAGGTTATCATTGCCGAGGGCTCAACCGCTATCTTTCACACCAACCAGGCTCTCGCTTTGTCTTCCTGTCAAGCATATTTTTGCTCTACCGCTGTTACCAACAGTCACCCGTCAATGGATATGGAAAAAAGTGAAAAAAATCGAATCGAAAAGCATTCAAAAACATGTTTGGCGAAAACAAAGTCTTCAATAAACTGCGCATTAATTTGCAGTTTTTTTTTGATAAGCCCACACGAAGTGTTAGCATGTTTATTACTTACCATCAAAGCCGGAAAGGAACCTCAGTGGACTTCGGTCTTTTCAGAGCCTGACAAGGTTGAGTTAAATGCAACCTAGTTACCGAAACGCCTCCCTAACCTCAACGGAAAAGCCACTACAGCAAATTTCCAAACGCATTTAAATATACCAGCTTCCTCACGCACTCAAGAATTTCTATGAATCTCCACTGAGTATTCCACTTGTAGACCAACCGTACAGAGTTCATGTGGATGGGAAATGTTCTTCTCTCATGTTAAAATTTTAGTTTGAGGAATTACATGAGATCGCGCCTGAGAACCAGGTTTATTTTTGGTATGTCGAATTTATCCAGAATGTATGTAGACTTTTACGCTCTGTTGTTTTGGATTCCCATGCAAAGATAGCGACGTTCACTTCAAAATCACTTCAATACTGAAAAAAATCTGCCATTTCAGCACAGGATTCCAATAAATTAGTGCGTAAAACTCTTAAAGCGTTTTAGGTACTCTCCAAAAACTCGAAAATAAGCAGCAAAGAGGAGTACCTTCTGATCACTCGTGACCAAGCGCCACACCTCACACTGATTCTTCGAGCTGGGCTTTCATGGGCGTATTCCCCGCCCATGAAATACTCTGACGACTAGTCTTTAGCAAACAACTGGATGACTTGCAAAGAATGAAGCGGTGACTGTATGAAGAAAGCTGTTTATTATACGAATAAAAATTTATGCATTAGGTTTTGTCTGCTTAGATTATGGAAAAGATTTTGTTTAGCTGAGTAGAATTCTTGTCACTTTGATCTTTCAAAGCCCTGAGGAAGACGAAACCGCCGAAACGTCGGCTGTTGTGTATTAATAAATTCTGTACCAACAACTTCGTGTTTACTAATCAAGGAAAACAGTCAATCATGGACGATTTGAAAACTGCTGCTTTATCCACTTTGATCCATTCATTGTTCAGGATTCTGTACTAACTTATGAATTCTTTTTTAAATGATGGGCAATAAAAAGAAGCATCTTAGAGACCCTTTACCTTTTATTTTTTGCCTACTACAATTTGCACGTCAGCATACTAAGCTAAATACAACCACAACGTTGCCGAGATATTTGCAAGACTCTGGACCGCAGGTGTCCATGGTGGGGAACGAACGCGCTAATGCCTTTTCGGGGAGTAACGCGTTCACCACTACACCGTACTGGTCCTTCGTTTCGCCTGTCTCACAGCTGGATCTGTCGAGCAGTAAATAAAAAAGTTAAGATTGTGATTATAACTGTAGCCTCAGCTTAACTGGGTTCAATGCCAATTTGGGCTCCCCAGATCAATCCCATTGACGGGTGATTGCCGATGGCAAACGATCGATAGAACTGGCTGAGAGATAAGTGAAACGAAGAACCCGAATTGTGTGGTGGTGAACGCGTTATTGCCCAGAAAGGACATTAGCGTGTTCGTTCCCCACCATAGACACCTGCGGTCTTGCAATTATCTCGGCAACGTTGTTGTTGTATTTAGCAATGCATACATGCTCAAGCATTTTGATCCAAGGAAACTTCATAGCAGTCAACCACCGATTTGATTTCAACCCTCGAATTCTCTTCAAACCTCACACACAGCGGACCGCTAGTGTAAGAAACTGGCCCTGAAAAGGCGGGTTCTGATCCACATTGAGTTCTGATTTTGCACATATCCTAGCATTATCGTGGTTGTTTTTCATGCAATACCCTGTGAGAAAAACAGTGAGCAGTAAAAAGAGAGTTAAACAATGCAATAAATGATTGGTAAACGAAGAAAGGTTGCATAAGAATGAATAATAGCTTCTTTTGATGGTACGCGCACGTTGATAGACAGACACTGCACTGAACGGTAGGAGCGAGAAAGAGGAAACAACACGAAGCCTGTAAGAAGACAGTTGCGCATTTTAGACGTTGACTTCCTGAGAGCTCTCGAATTAAGTGCAGCATCGGAATACTGTCGGGTATCATTGCTGCTTCACATAAACTTGCAGATTGCTTAATGACAGCAGAGTGATTTCATACGCTAGCCTGAAGAGCCGAAGATCCGTCACGGACGCGCTTTTGGAGTCACCTGACGGTGAAGATCCAAGAACATTCGGATGTTCACGGGATGGGCTTGGATCATCTCACGTTAGGAAAGTGGTCGTCTGAGTAGGCTGCATGTCTACTTGACCTCTGTGGCCTCCAAAAAAGCGAAAACCCGGAAATATCAGCTACTATTGAATAAATTTTGTTATAGAGAACCTCAGACAGCAAATGACGTAGTGGTAGTGATGCCACCCGTCACCAGTACGGTGCTGGTTCAACCCCGCGTAAACGCGCCAAGCTTCCCGTCCTTCCAGGATGAAGAAAAGGGTGCGAGACTGGTCTGGGGACGGCTCGTTATATGCAGCACAACTAGAACCCCTCTAGACTAGCTCGCTAAGGATACCAGGAAGAATGGAGTTAGGCAGAAATAAACGACAGTCACAACGAAAGGAAAGTGCTAAGGAGCAGCCGAAGCTGCACGCAATATGTTGGAAAACCATTGCTGATGACTAAAGCGAGAAAATCCATCGGATTATACAAGTTCAGGTTCCACACAGTGTTTGTAAAAGAATGGGGTTGAAAAAAACATTGAAATAATTTGGCTACCTAGGGTCTGCTCAAGAAGGAAATACCGATTTATTGAATGTAAATGATTGGTAAATCACTGTTTATTGGAACGCATATTTAGTCCTGATTAATGGATTGGTGGATATAATCTCTTCTAGAGCTCAGTGAGATTTTGTAGACATATAGCTAAGCAAAATCAGTTAAGTATTGCCTGGCAGCTGCTCGCTAATCCCCAAGCATAGAAGAAATCGATGTGGCAGTAACAACACAGGCTGCTCTGGTCAACTCATAATTTATGTGCACTTTAGATATACACCAACAACAAAGAAACATTATCTCGGAATGATTCTTATGCTGCAT